GACGCTGCGGAAGATCCGAAATCTGCCCAGTTGTTCGGAAATATAATTGTTGCTGGACAAGGTTGCTCTGGAGCTTTTCCTATTGCAACTCTGTGACAGGTAGCTAGCCACTTACTTGTATAGTGCGAGGTATAGTGCTGGAAGAGAACAAGCTCCTCAACATTTAAGCGATTGTTCGACGATACCTAGGTACCTAGGTACCCAGCTGCGTCATCTCACCCACCACCAAACACTCAGCTTGAGTGACAAGGCCATCAGTTGCGCAATGCAGAACCGCAACACTTTGATCCAAGATCTGCGCTTACTCGATCGAAATATACAGAATCCTGAAAAAGGAAAACTACCCCAGTGGAAGTCTAGATCGCGTGCATGCTGCAGGCGCGACGTTAATAAGCGTATGTAAAGGGTGACTACTCGTTGCTGCTGCAGACAAGGCAACCACACACAATTAATTCGTGACGTCAATTCCTGCGTACACAGATAGCTAAAAGGGCGCTGTCGTGCTTTTAGATGCAAGTGAGGGGTCAAATCACGTAGAGAGCGGACAAGCTTAGTTGCAGCATCGCCAACTTCAACATTCGCAACCCTTCCTAGACAATCATCATGGCTCCAGAACCCGAACCATACACGATATCAGTCCCTGATTCCGCAATCGAAAAGCTCAAACGCAAGCTATCAGATGCCGACTTTCCAGATGAGCTGGACACACCCGATCAATGGCCCTACGGCTCACCCCTCTCCGACATCAAGCGACTAGCAAAACACTGGGAAACGAACTTCTCATGGCGAAACGCCGAATCCAAAATGAACGAGCTACCCAACTACCGCAAAAAAGTCCAAGTCGACGGTTTCGGCCACATCGACATACACTTCGTCCACAAGAGGAGTTCAAACCCCAACGCCATACCCCTCCTCTTCAGCCACGGCTGGCCAGGCTCCTTCCTCGAAGTAACAAAACTACTTCCGCTTCTTGAAGCTGGCGAGAAAGAAGGGAAACCCGCATTTCACGTCGTTGCGCCATCTCTGCCAAACTTTGGGTTTAGTCAGAGGATTAGCACGCCTGGCTTTGCGTTGTCGCAATACGCGGAGACGTGCCATCGGTTGATGCAAGACCTCGGATACGATAAATATGTTACGCAGGGTGGTGATTGGGGTTTTTGGATTACGAGATCGATGGGGATACTTTATCCCGACTATGTTCTCGCAAGTCACATCAACATGGTGCGCGCGCAAGCACCGACGTTTACATCGCAGCCTGCACTTGCTCTGCAGCACGCCGTTACTCCTTACACCGAAGCCGAGAGCAAAGGGATCGAGCGCTCAGAATGGTTTCTCAACGAGGGTCAGGCATATCGCCAGCTACAATCTACCAAGCCACAGACGCTCTCTTACGCATTCGCTGATAGCCCCGTGGCTCTACTGGCATGGATCTACGAGAAGCTGATCGATTGGACCGACGGCTACCCTTGGACTGACGACGAGGTGCTTACTTGGGTTAGTGTATACTGGTTCAGCACAGCAGGACCCAATGCGCATGTGAGGATCTACTACGAAGCGCAACACAACCCCACAGATCTGATTCCGAATCGAGAGCGGACGACGACGTGGATTGATCGGGTGAAGTTGGGTGTTGCGCACTTTCCTAGAGAGATTACTGTTGTGCCGAGGGTATGGGCGAAGACTTTGGGTGAGTTATCCTCGTGACGATGAGGTTGTCGCCTATACTTACTGATCTACCACTAGGTCCTCTCGTTCATGAGAGTGTTCACGATAAGGGCGGGCATTTCGCTGCGCATGAGAGGCCAGATGTGATCGTTGCGGACTTGCAGAAGTTGTTTGGGAGGAACGGACCGTGTTACGGCATAGTTCCAGAAAAGCCAGGTTATTGATATGGGTTCGTAGATATGAACAATTTCGACGGAATGATATGATGACGAGAGCTATTTTATGTACCGTCATTTGACAGGTGCCGGCTTTATCAGCTCAGCCGTCGAGTCTCGAGCGCCTTCGCACGAGAAGTCGAACGCGGCCATATGCGCGTCTGTTGGCTTTTCGGTCGTGCATTGCGTGATATGTTTGGCTTCGTCGCGACTTCTCAATGGGGAGAGAACTCGTCCTGGTATCGGATCGATCTCATCTTCAGACACCAATGTCGACCGCGACAAATCCTTCTCTGCCGCCGACGCGGAAGAATTGAATGTAAGCCAGTGGATTATAAGAGCGTCCCAGCAAACGTCCACCAAACAGATCGCAAGACATATCATGCCCAGCTCTTCGCCCTTGGTAAGGAAGAATTGTACCATGTTCGCCGCCGTTGGTATCTCTATCAAGAGCGACCCAATGATACTCTTCCACAGCAGTGTCTTGATATTCTTCCTAGCTGGCGTATCCTGTCCGCCATGCACTGTATCCTCATTCTGACTCGACTTCCTCTTGAAGATCCTGGAAAGAGTAGATGCACCAGGCAAACCTACGACCGGATAGAGTAGGTAAAAGAAGACCACAGTCAGAATAATATTCGTAAAGAAGTTGACCACGGTAAATGGTATCGATGCGATGCCGCGAATACCAAAGTGACAGCGTCCGTCCGATTCGTGCAACTCGGTGACGTGATTGAGATAGGAGTTGATGGCGACAGTACCGTACAACACGATGATCATGGCCATGCAACATAGGTATATCTTGTCTTTTCGCCTATTGACGAAAGGCGCGCGGACGACATGGATGCGTTCGACCAAGAAGATATAGCTGCCATATGTTAGCAAATGGCTGGGCTTCGTCGATGCACACTTACATGATAGCTTTGATGAACGTGTAGAAGATCAAGCAAACCCATGTTCCCGCAACGCAGAGCTCGTAGGTATAGAGCCCCTGGCCTGCCACAAGAACGGCTGAGCAGATGATGAACGTCAAGACCAGTACGTATAGCATGAAGACAAGCGCAGACATGAGGCGATGCTTTCTCAAAATGCGGCGTTTGAGTTTCTCGAACCGCGAACCTATGGTCTGTGTCAGAAAGTGAACGCACGACTGGTCCAAACTTGATGGCGTGATGCAAGTTGCAAAGGTCATCGTGTAACCTTGAGATCGATTGGGTACGGAAGAAGAACTTACCCAGTAATAGCGAGCACACCATCATGCACAACAGCGATATGATCGTGAAGATCGACCTATCCCGTGGAAGTTCGCCATTGTCGATGAAAACGTTCGAGTTCCGAAAATCCTCTTGCCGCACCTGTAGGGGGAGGGCTTGAGCAGCGAACGTCTGCATCAAGAAAAGACAGGCGAACAGCCTCATTCTTGACAGAAGTTCGGAACCGATATCGAAACGAGTCGTACGCGTTCGCAGAAAGAAAGACGTGATCAATTATCATTCGATTGGGGATCCTTGAGTCCTTAACTGGACCCTTTTCGCAACCTGACATCTGTCTTGGTCCCACAAAATGACGCTCCATTATTTTCTTCTTGCGTAAATCATATGGTCAAGCCTATGATCGACCGGGAGTTGCTAGGGACTGTGGCGCTGAGGGCGATCGTTTTGCTTGACTTCCAATGTTGCGTGAGGCTGATTGGGTTTACGCTAGTCATGCGGAGATGGGCCCGGCTGGCCGATGCGGCCTCGAACGCGAGATTCCCGGTGAGAAATCCACGTGCGTGCCGCTGCTCCCGTTCCTAGCAGCTGTTGGATGCGTTTTTTCTCAAATATCTCCGTCAGGGACAGGGTCGGTATTAGAGGCCGGTGTGCATTTTGCTTTTTCTACCTGACAGGTGTCATGGCTCGCTGATTCTTACCATATGTCGCGATGTCTCAACCATGCATACTTCACCCATTCGTACCCCACGTTGTCGAGCGGAAAATCCTGTTGGCTTCCCCTGGCGAGGATCCTAGTCCAATGTCTAACTGGATCTCATCCCTTTGGAGCCAATATTGCCGTATCGGGATTGCGACAATCCGCCGAACGCCATTGCGCCATTCTCTTGCTTTGCTGGAAGATCCTGATCTTGATCTCCGAGGATGAATTTTGCCGATGTTGCAACGGCCTGTTCTTCGCTCACGGGCAACATCTCGTTCCATTCCAGAAACAACCATAGCCAGGATAGAGCACATTCGATGTGCCCTAAGGTAGGTGAAGATGTGCTCAGCAGGACCTTGCACGTCTCCTGTCTTCTCCAAAGAGACAGCTGGTGAAGCTGGATAGTACACAGCCCTCAGATCTGGCAGGGGTCGCAGGGATGCTGAATCATAGTAGTCTGAACGAGTGGCTCCGAGGAATGAGCTGAGCAGATTGACTTCGGAAACTCACGAACAACTGTGGGGACTCTCGTAAACTTTGCGTACACTCTTCGCACGTTCGTACCCCACGCCGTGGGGTGCAGGGAGTATTGCGAATTCTCGGTCAGAGTTGGCTATACGAGCATGTGATTGATACAAGGTCGTTTCGGTCGATGATCGCTGGTATATGCGCGCTGCGAGAGCATCCTGAAACCCCTGCTGGTATCCACGGGGAATTTCTCGTCACAGCCCATTTTGCCGATCACACTTCTATCCAGATGTAGAATTTAATCCCCTAACGGCCAGAGAATGTTGAAAAGATGCGCGCGGCCTTCTGATTCGGCGTGAAGAAGTAGCTGCGGCAGGTCAGTAAGCCCTTGAAGTGGCGTGTGGTAACTGACTTGTTCGCCCAGTGCGCGTTCAACCAGCTCCTCCCGCGAAAGCTCAATGAAGACATCGTGAAACCGGCCTTCTCCGACTGCAACTAGTGGTGATATAATTGACTTTCGCTCGGTCATATATCAAAGTAGGAACACAGCCGCATTGCAACCTTCGAAGTGAAGGTTGCCAAATGTGATGTGCGTGTGCGATGTGCGTCCCGGCGGATGTCGCGCATACGCGCACGGCGCGTCGCACTAGAGCGGATCTGGACTTGCCGGATCGCTGATCTCCGAAAGCATCTATGTAGCCATCCACTCACAACTCTACAACTGCACCTCAACCAATAATGAGTGGCGATACAAGATTGAAAAAGAAGCGGAGAGGCGGCCCGCGCAGTAGAACAGGTATGTGCCGTGATCTATGAAACTCTGCTGCGATGCTGAGATAAGCTAATGCCATCAAGGTTGGTACGTCTGGCTGCTATTTTCATCGCGAAAACCTGTACTTCTGGCTGACTGAGTCGCTCCAGCGCCACCTGCAAACGCCGTCACACCCGCTGCGATGAGAAAAGGCCAGTATGCGGGAATTGCGAGCGTCTCAACCTCGACTGCGAGCTATCCGAGGAGATCGTATGGGCTACTCCTCGTGTCGATACAACACCGGACGAACCAAACAATGATGCGCCGCTTCTCGTTGACGTGTTTAGGACACGAATGAATGATCTTGACCTTCCTGAAAACTCTTTGTCAAATCAGAACTACATACCTGCTAATGGAGTCACGACAGCAGGTTCCGACGAAGCGAACGGTCCGAAGAAGGTACGCTTGACACCAGAAAGCGCCTTTTTACTCCAGACCTATGTACGCACCGTCGCAACATGGATGGATATCTTTGATCATGCCAGCACCTTTCAGCACAAAATCCCACAGCTGGTCCTCAGATCGCCGCTTCTGTTTCACTGTGTATGCGCCTTTACCGCCAACTATCTTGCCCTTTCCAATTCGAGCCATGATCCTTCTTGGCAAGTCACAGCTTCCAAGCATTATGGCGAATCGTTGCGCCTACTCATAGAAGCTTTGAGCATGCCTTCGCACGAACATGCGCTTACCGCAAGTATGCTGCTCTTGAGCTACGAAATCCACGGAGCTTTGCGCTCTGAAGACTATCGGCGACACTTCCTAGGCCTTACAGTACTAATCAAATCACGACATGTTACTGCACAGTCAAGCGGCACTGATCTGGCCAACTTCTGGATCTATATCCGACACGAGATCGTTGTAGCTATGGCTAGCGAGCAGCCTCTGGTACTAGACCCTGCAGAGTGGGAGGTGTCCTGGGTAGAGGGTGAGACTAGAGAAGATGTTTTGGGAAACCACATGCTTTGGATATTAGCGCGAGTTCTCAATCTCATTTTTGGACCAGATGGACGAACTGAAGCAGGTAAAGAGCAGCGCCAAAGCTTCCTGCACGAGATCGAAATGTGGCGAAGGGGACTTTCTGACACGTTTGTTGGTATTTCATACGGGGAGAAAGACGAAGATGGCTTTGGCAAAGTATACTTCCCAGTGGCGGCCGCAGCCGCCACAGCGTTTTGTACGTTTATAGAAGCAAGTAGCGCTCAACACGATCTAACGGGTCCAGGGTATCATATAACACATATTCTGCTCTATGCAGAGCCGGAGCTTCAAGACGAGGCCTACATTCCTCTGATTCAAGAGCAGGCTATGGAGATAACCGACATAGCAATATCAGATTTCCCCCCATCGCTGATGGTATTCTCTACGCATGGTCTTTTCTATGGTACGTATCCATCCTTCCGGCTACACATAGTCAAATGATTTTACGATCACAGCGAAACGGTAACTGATACGTTCTAGCCGCGAAACACATCCATGGGATCTCAAGAAAGGCGCGTATCTGGAACGTCTTGAACGAGGTTGAGCGGCAAACTGGATACAACACGAGTACGACCGTGAGGCTTCTCCAGACTTTGGTGGAGGAAGGCGCGCAAAGCCATAGCGCAAATATCTTATGAGCGATTCCTCTTGCTTCGAAAGGAAAGCCATCATAGTTCACCAGTCTCTGCCTACCAAGTACCTGGAGAATGGCCGGCATCGGACCGAGCCGCCTCGTTGGTCAGCTGCGGGCTGAAGCGAAGCCAACGACTGATCAAGCATTGACTGCGAGGCTTCTGGGGTGATGATGGGGTCGGAAGTTTTCATCCTATCGCATTGTCTGGGTGTAGCGACTTCGGTGACACTCCAGAGTAGTGGCGCGTAGAGCACACCTCTTACTGGTAATCATTACCGTTACCCACCCCACGTACATCCTCAGGCCCAACACGGATGCTGGAAACAATTCAAAAACATCTCCAAAGACACGGTCAATCACGATTTCAAATTTCCTTATCTATCAGGTTTCGTTCCAAGACAAAGCTGTGACAAGATTTGGCATGCGCAGCCGGGTTCTGGCGCACGTCGCGAGGCTGCGCCGCCTGCACAGCCCGCGAACAGTCGGGCAGGCAGCAGCAACACAACCAGTCGAAAGATGTCCCTTGTTCTAACAAGCGACTGGGCAGCGCAAATCAGTACCCTTTCGCGACTTTTGTGAGCGTATCGCATGAAATTGTTCAGCTTTTAGATATTGACAACGCCACAACTTCGTTTATGCGCGGGTAGTCTCAGCCATGCACGACAGGTTGTTTCGCGCAGCCTCCACGAGAGCGTTGATGGGGCTCTTGGTTATATTCGCCACTCCAACCGATTTCTGAAATGCTATGTTCATCATTCTATCTCACACCATTATGGCACCTCCACTCAACTCTCAAGATGATCGTGCAGCGTTCGTTGACGCTTGCATTAACAAGCGTAAGAAAGCGATGCATGCCTGGGAGTCACTTGGCTTGATCAGTGAGAAGTTACACGATGAGCAACACGGCTACTTCGTCAACAAGGAAAAGGCCGACAAGGCTAACGAACTGCAAAGAGTGGTTGAGGGAATAGCAAAGTCGTTTGCTACGTCGTATCGTGGCACCATCGAAGAACTCCATACTTACCTGGCTGAAGAGAATGCCTTCTCGGAAGATGTCCTCCGGCTCGGACAAGAATTTGGAGTGAAGATATGGGGCCGTATAGAAGACGGTGAAATCCGCTCGTCAGGCGAATCCCAAGGAAATGGCATCGAGGAGCAGGACTGGGACGACCCAAAAGACCGCCAGAAGTGAGCACTTTATGCGTTCTCATGAACGACTTTACTGACGCCCTCTTAGTATTCTGTTCTACATCCGATGCTGGCTTATATGTACCGTGGTCAGAGAGTACAAGGCGACTCCACGAAAAGGGAAAGCAAAAGGTCGGACCCGAGACTTGAGGGTAAAGTAGCCGTCACGAATAGCTCTCAAGATGTCTTGCTAACTTATCACTAGTATGTAGCTCCCTTGCGATGCTTTGCTAACGCAGTGCTGAGACATCTTACTATTCGTGCTAACAGCTTGACAGTCCATCTCAAGATAATCAACATGAAGACACCATCGAAGATCTCGCAGAATCTGATAGCCCTAGAATCATAGGCGTATCTTTTAGAGCGCCAGAACCACCACGCATGTATCCAACACCGGAACCGCGCAGAGATACGACATTCGCCAGTGCCAACGAGAAGATTACAAGCACTAGTTTCACCTCCGTGAACAAGACCACCACACCGAGTAAGAGGAAAGCGCAGTATTCCCACGAACGAACACCTTCTGGGAAGCTCTCGAAGCCTTCAAAAGGCGGTCGAACAATCCCTGTCCTCACTAACCAGTCACGAGATCCCTACTCGATCCCCATGTCTCCTCCCACGTTCTCCCCCATATCCCCTCCTGCGGTTCCGAACCTGGGCCGCTCATCGTTTCAAAGACGAAGAGAGACCACATACGACTCAGACGCGACGTGGGCACCGCCTCGTGAAGAAACCGCAGACGCGGAAACGGTGGTCGATGCGGAAGATGTCCATCCCGGAGAAGTCGGTAAGTTCATTATTCCGACAGCAACACTGAACGTTGAAGCTTACCTTGATTAGATTCAAGAATCCAGAATGATATCGCTACGTCCAACGCAGATGAGATGCAATACGAGTACGATAACGACATCAACAACGCCGCCGGCCCATCGGGCACCTACCGAAACCCCCTCAGACAGGATTCCGTCATACCAGATACACAAACGCAAAACGATGCAGTAGACTCTATCATCTACCCTCCAAGTGGCCAAATCATTGTAACCGACGAAGACACATCAAGCGACGCATATACCGACGCCATAATCCGCTCTCTCATCTCCAACCCCTCTCCCACGACGCGGCAAACGCGCATATACCGTCTCGAACTCTATAGACTACTCGTCTCCTACCTGAACGATATCAAGAACTTCGATCCCACTAACTACGACTCCGCTGCGGAAGAACGCATGGATTTTCTACTCAACCAATTTCACTGCACCGATGCTGATGTCTGGCATTCTGATCATAACGACAGCGCACTTCGCCTACATCTCGCGTTCGAGAAGTGGATGAGCATGCGTCACCGTCTCGCCGCGTTTCGCAGCGTGACGGGATATTTTGGCCTGCCGGGGAGGCAGTGGAAGGAGTTTCTGAGGGGTCTGGATGATGTGCCGCATGCGGAGGCTATTTTGGCTTTTGTGGATCTGAAGGACGCCGGGGATGGGGAAGAGGGTGGGAGGGTGCTTGGTGATGGGTTTGATAATGATCTTATGATGATGTTTGATGGCTTAACGAAGTTTCAGGACTGTAATGGGCCGGAGGCTTTCAAGGGCGTAAGGAAGTTTAATGAGAGGTTGTTAGTGTGGTTCAGGGATGAGTGAACGGGTGGAGGTAGACAAAAGACAAACCACACAGAAGACGCAACTGAGACTGCGGCCATTCCTTCTTGCGTCTAGTCATTCAGTACCTACCAGACTTGTCATAACACGCAGCAGCTATCCATCTCAAGGTCCAGCGCTGGCTTCTGCTCCACAACCGGCGCCACACCCCCATTAAGCTCTTTCAAGAACACAGTAAGCCGTTCCCTCAACTCAACCTCCTCTTTCTCCCTAGCCCAAACAAGATACAACCCCCACCTGAACTTCCCAGCCGTCCTCTCCAACGGTTTCAACATCCACTCCTTCAGCTCCCAACCCACCGCAAGCGGCATGTCGTTGTATACACGTAGCGTGATGAATTCCAACATCTTCGCCTCTCTCAGGAGCAAGTCGACTAGATCCGCAAGCCACCCGTTCATGCTATACGGAACTGTGTGCTTGTCAATCACACCTCCATTTGATTGGTCATTCCAAAATACACAAATGCAGATCCTGCTTGCGTTCTGGATGGCGCGGAGGGCGGTCGGTTCGATCGGGCGGTCGAAAATGCACGAGCTGGCAAGTGGGTAGAAACCCAAGGTGGCTTTCGAATAGAAGTAGGCGCGGATCTCATCGCAGAGAAAGCGACATGTCACAGATAGCTCGGTTGGTGCGCTTCGGTCGATGTAGGTGATTAGTCGCTCTTGTGTTTGCGCAGTATGATTATGATTGGGTTCCTGGCTGCAGAGATGGTCGTAGATGTCGTAGCGCAGTTCTTTGGGGAGACGGAGGAGAGGGCTGGAGGGAATGGATGAAGACATGATGGGTGGTGTACGTATAGGCGGCAAATGACGTGGGTTGGGTTGAGGGTACGAAGGTCTGTTTAGACAGTTGGATGGAAGATGGTAAGAAGGAGGCAGGTTTATGACAGTCAGGTACTGTATGGATGTGGCATGTGGGTTGGCGTTGTGGCACGCCTTGTGATGTATGATGACGTACTACCTGGGGTGCTTTGGCTCTTGTGGGAACGTGAAAGTGGGAAATAAGACTTAGAACAACAACTCTCCCTCCCTCTACTATACACTACTACGCCGTAATTAAATAATAATAAAAAGCAGAATAGCACAATATAAAGCTCTAAATAACTTTATCTTTCTAAATTTCTAATTAAGAGCGTTGTAGTTATGTTGTAAGAGCTACCTACTATTAGCTTGTGTCTAACTTCCACGTTCCCACTAGAGTTTGGGTGATCTGGTCATGGACGAAGAGGTCGTATTCGCGATATCCCGGAGCCTGACCTTTTCAAGCAGTGCAACCAACAGTAAACTATTGCATGCATCATTGCCACTAGCAGGTCGCAAGTAACTCAAAGAGCACGACATTCAGAAAGAAGCATATAATTGTGGCATTTTCCGTAATTGCTCCAACGCCATGCGAATGCAACATCATATCGAAGACGAACAATAATACTGTAATCTAGCTCCACAGCCTCAGCGTCCCATCCGCACCAGCCGACACACACCACGGCTCCCTCGGATGCCAGTCGAGACCCATAACACCCAACCTGCTCTTGACCTTGTGTCCGCGCAGTACCTTCAAAGGAACAATTGTAGCGTTCTCCATAAGATCTCCCACAACCTTTCCGTGGAAGATCTGGATGGTGCCGTCGTCGGAGGTATCGGCGAAGAGGGGGAGACCGCCTTGGTGGAAGCGCACGGAACGAATGGCTTCCTTGTGGAAACGCAGGGTCTTGTAGGGTTTGTTGGAGAGGTCGAGATCGTGCCAGAGGAGACGCTGCAGGGGCAATTAGTACACGAGTAATGTTACGGTATATGGAGAGCTTACCTTGTCGTATGTTCCGACAATGATGTTGTCACCACCGGGATGCACATCAATGGACGAGATCCATTTAGCACCTGGTTGCAAGATCTTGACGAGTTCCTGCTTGGCGAGGTCGTAGCTGCGGATGGTGTTGCGGGTGGCGACGAAGAAGATGGCTTTGGAGGGGTGGAATTGGGCGGTTTGCGCGATACCCTTGAGACGGCGGAAGGGGAGCTGGGTGAGATGTTTTGAGACGGTGTGGATGGCTACGGCTGTGCTTTGGCCGCGAGGCGATACGGTGGCGAAGTAGTCTCCTCTTCGGTGCCAGTTGACTATCTTGACTGCTGCTCGGACTTCGATTTGGACGAGAACGCCCTTGTTCTCCAGACGGGTTCCGGGACGGCTCCACTTGCCTGGTGCTGCTTTAGGTGCCTCGCCAAATGTTGTTGTGGTAGGCTTAGAGGCCGCGTAACCCCAACCGGCGTCGAGAACCTCGCGACTAGCTTGCTCAACGTCCGGTGAAAGAAGTGTGAAGGGTACGATTAGGTAGACGTTCTCGCCGCAAGCAGCAGCTACTACCGATGTCTCCTTGGTGGGTCTCCATTGTACTGCATCCACGGCCTCCTCATCTGACAGCTTTGCGTTCCAGACCTGGCGACCAGTCAATAGCTCCCAGATCCTTACGTAGCCGTCGTCACCTCCACTGGCAACAAAGATACCGTTAGGATCGACCGAAACACAACGAACACGTCCTTCTTGTCCGCGGTATATCGCTGCGCATGTAGTCGGGAAAGGCTTGAGCTCTTCAGGGTTCGGCAGCTTAGGTAGCAGTGATTCAGGGTCGATGTTGAGTCGGTTTCTCCGGATACGGGGAGCCAAGTAGAGATCCAAGCTTCGCTCAAATCGTTCCTTGACGAATGTCTCGTAACCAGGAACCTTGCGCAGCGCATCGTAGTTCTTGGGCAGGAAGTCCGTCTCCCGCTCCTCATCGTCTTGCTCCAACCACTTCTGCTCCTCAACCTTATCTGGCAAGTACTCGGGCGGTGGGTGGTAGCTCGCTTCGTAGCCAGGCGGTGGCAGCTTGGGTGCCGGGATGTGCATTGTGTTGTCGGGGCGAGGCTTCTCGTCCGCCCATACGTCAAAGGTGAAAACGTCTTGCTCCTCCTCCTGCTCCTCCGGTGCCCTGTATGGCTTGATGCGGCCTTCCCTAATCGCCTTGACGATCTTCATGACGCGCTTCGCTTCGTGCTTGGAGGGGATGAATCGTCGCTTGGGCTCTGGCGCAGCGCTCAGTGGCATAATCTCCGTGTTGACGCCAGAGAAGTAGGCGACCATCTCTGGGTATGGGTCGTAACCATCTTCCACAATCTCGTTCCTTGTGAGCCTCTTGAGTACATCGAGCTCCTCGGGTGACAGGTTCAGCGGCTTTCCTGTCTGGGGATCCGTCAAGCCTGTCCAGCCCTTGGGTATGTCGATACTGTCCAGCAGCGCATCCAGCGCCTCTCCCTTAGCCGGGCGCATGATCTTCTTGCCGTTGATATCGTAGCCAATATGCGGGTATTCATCGTAGTACTTGAGGTCGATGTTGCCAATCGTGTTGGTAGCTTCGGCGTCAGAATCGTCGGATTCGTAGACCGGGTCGATCTCTTTGTAGATGTAACGAGTGTTGCCGTGCGCATCGGTGGTGACAGTGTAGTTGGGCTTCAGGTCTTCATCGTCTTCTAGTTCTCCATTTGCGCCACCCACGTCCAGATCCATCTCGTGTGTAGGTACTCCATTCTTCTTGCGCAGTGGAACATCCGAGGTATTCAGGTTGCGCATTTCCTCACGAATCTGCTCTGCATCGCTGTCTTCCTCCTCCTCTTCATCTTCGTCGGAAAGACCCTCGATTAGACTGCTAGCATCGGTATCGGCGCCTTCATCTTGGCTGTCGTCCGAGTCGTCCTCGGAATGCGACAGGATGCCCTCGAGCAGCCCATCGGCCAATTCACCTTCCGAATCACTGGGCTCGGGCGCCGGGCGCGTCACGACCTTTCTCTTGCGCGGGTTGACTGACATTTTCGGCGATTGATGTTTCCTCCTCACGTTCACCGCGGACTGTCGCAACTTCCCAAAAATTATCGCTAGCGTCCAAGATTTCGGTTTTAGCGCGTCGCACGTGCCAGGCTGCCATCAGCCAAGCATATCCTCGGAGACCTTGACAGCAACTTTGTCGCAAACTCCGCAACTCCAACTCTCTGTTTACCCTACGCAATTGCAACCACCACCCGCATCTGCTACGCCAAGACACCACCCCAGACTGATTGCAGCAGTAATTCCACCGACTCACCATGGCGACGCGCCACTCTGACTACGATCGTAGGCGCCATTCCCCGCGCCGCGACCGCGACCGCGGAGATCGTGGAGACCGCTATGGCGAGAGTCGCTTCAGAGACGACCGTGACCGCCGCGACCGCCGCGATGACCGTCGAGAGCCTGACCGTCGAGACCGCGACCGCGGCGACACGTACCGTCGACGTTCGCGCTCCCCGCCTCGCCGCCGCGACCGATCCCGTGACCGAGGAGATCGTGCCGACCGTGGAGACAGCTACAGGCGCGACCGCGACGGTGATAGAGACAGGCGTCGCCGCTCAACCTCCCGCCGACCTGGTTCCCGTTCATCTGCTACACCGGCACCAGGCTCAGACAGCTGGAGGCGCGATGACGGCAGACGCGACGACAGCAGGCGCGATCGGCTAGATCATTCCTCGCACGACGACAGGAAGAAAGACCCCGAGACACAAGCCAAGGACAAGCTCGCAGACCGCGCTGCGAAGCTGGCTGAGTGGAAGAAGCTCAATGCCGAGCGCTTGCTCAAAGAGAAGACCGACACACCCGGCTCCGGTGCTTCGCCAGCTGCCACCGCACCTGCAACCCCGTCAGTCACTGCGACGCCCCCGCCAGCTCCGGCATCTGAGGCCAAGCTTGTTGGTACCGCTAAGACCAAAGTCATTCCGCAGAAGAGTGCTACTGAGAAAGTCAAGCAGAAGCAGCCCGAGAAGTCGACTTTCAGACTGGATGCTTCCGCCGCAGCCCGTCCCCTAGACATGGCCAAGCCTGCAGGCAAGACTGTCACCAACGCTAGCAGTGTGTTCATCCCAGATCCTCTTTTCACGAACCACAAGCTCACACGTACAGACGTTCCCATTGTTAAGGGCAATGGTAACATTGGCTCGTTCGGTCTCAAGGCCAAGACTGCTGCTGAGACCGAGGAAGAGAATTCCAGAAAGGCATTGCTCGACGAGGAAGGTCCGACCCGCAAGCGCAAGCTTCAGGCTCTCCCCGAATTCGACGCCAACGAGGCACCCTCGCTTGAAGCCGACGGCGACGACGCGGACTCTCCAATGAGTGACATCGGCAGTGATGACGAGAACAACGCGGAACTTCAAGCTCGCCTTGAGAAGCGTCGCGCTGAGATGGCCAACGAGAACCAAGAGGACACTGCCATGGAAGAGGCAACTGCTGTCGAAGCCCCTGCCGACGACAAGATGGAAGTTGACGAAAATGCAGGCGCCGAAGAAGATGACGTCGATCCTCTCGATGCCTTCATGGCCGATCTCACGGAGCCACAACCAAGCCGCGGAGCTCCTTCGGGTCAGACTATGTTTGCTGACGAGCTTGAGACTGTCGAGACCTCCGTCGAACATGAGGACCTTAACGAACTTCGCGCTGCCAAGAAAAAGAAGAAGAAGGAGGTGCCTACCGTCAACCACGATAAAGTTGAGTACGAACCGTTTAGGAAAGACTTCTACACTGAGCCCTCCGAAGTTGCACAGATGACACCTGAGGAGGTCGCAGATCTTCGCCACGAGCTCGACGGCATCAAAGTCAAGCCTGATGACGTTCCCCGTCCTGTCACCAAGTGGGCGCAGATGGGTCTGCTGCAAGCTACCATGGACGTCTTCACCAAGATCGGCTACGAGAGGCCTACAGGTATCCAGTCTCAAGGTGTACCTGCAAT